GAGAAGTGGGCTTCACCGGATAGAACACGTATGGAATATACTCGGCTGTGGTTCACCGTACCCAGCCTTATTTGCAGCTGCTGTTGGTGCGTAGAGTAAATGATTTATAGGTCAATAGGTGACGTGGAGATGAAGCATAAGGAAAAGTTTGTAGAAATTACAGTGAGAAGTTTCCCATCTTCCGGACTGAGGTCTAAAAGACAGTAAGTAGTTAGTTGGAGATATTGGATGACATGAGAATGAACCGATTGCAGTGGTACGCTTGTTGTCATTTGTTATCAGGCGATAACACCCAGTTAAACTGTTGACTATCGTGGAACAGTCGTTTGCATTAGTACTCACTTTCTTGGCGTTACATGTTGGCATTGGTTAGCAAGGTTTACCTGTATGATAATGGTAATGATGAATGACAACCATCGATACAGTCCCTTCTCCGTCAGGTACCATAATTTCACATGTTCTGAACAAATTTTCCATACATTCTTGAAATCCAGGAGGTGATACTTTTCGCTCCGTATCACACTGAATGTATGCCTCATCAACTATCGTTTCGTTCTGACAAATTTCTACACATTTTTCCCATCAAGCATTGGCTAAAATTCCTTAATTCTTAAGCCTCAACTGTCGCAGTTCCAATGTTTTAGCATTGATAAACTGTTCATAGTGATGGAGCTGGAATTTTGTGAATGGTATTTATTATTTTTGGGCTCATTAATGTGTCGAACCTCTCGAAAATGGAGTTCACTTTCAATGGAAATACGGCACAAAAGCATTCCCTTTTTCTATTGATTCATGCCAGCCAGGGCTTGTGAGGTTTTTAACATTTTTGCTCACAGAACTATACAGCATTGCATAAGGAAACACTAAAGCCGTACGAAATGTTTCCAATGATTGAACGATACGAGCACATCTTTTAAACCGTCTCCCATCAATATGTGGTACAGCCTTTCAACGCCGCACCTCATTTCTTAACCCCTCATTGCAACATCAACCCATGAGTAGAAAATGAAATGTTTCAACATTGGTTGACCTTAGCATATTCCGATTCTTTTTGATCTGACTCGTCTACCGCAGCATGACTTTAGTTTATGCGTTGAGACCAAGAAACTACGACGGGTCGTGACTAAAGCATTCCGGGGTTTGATGGGAAATGGTGTCAACCACTCAAATCTCTGTCCATTTCTTGTGATGTGCGTCATGTGTATTGTGCTTACTTTAACCTATTTACTTACCATTTTAAAACATGCTGCTAAGGCTTATGCCAGATTCTGATAGCCTCTGAAAGTTGAATCACGTAGATGTGCTCCAATTCAATTCTACTACACAAGAGTCAGAGCATTTCAACCTTCTGGTATATCATACTTGTGCAATAAAAAATAGCGGAGGAATTGGATAAAATCAACCATGCCCTTCGAAACAACAGATACCCTGAACGGTTCATTGAGAACGATATAATAATAGAAAAGCTACTTTCAATTTAGAAACAAAGACAGCAAACAGACAAGAGTTGCTTTAACGATTGCCTTTCAAAGGAACTGTGTAAGCCGCGAGATACTCAAGCGATGGCTATATAGAAAAGGTGATTGCCCGCATTTCCAGTCGCTAAGGGGCAGAATTAACTCTATGCACAAAGCTCAAAGAGGAACTAACTACATGTGTTCACCTCCTCATTGGTTACCTATTGATTTGCGCTTGCAGCTAGCTGTTTGGTGAGTCACGACGGTCGGGTGACGAGTTGGCCGTCAAATGGAATCAAATAACACAAGAACACATCAAATAACACATAAGCCTAACACTGAAAACAACCAGAAACACAGTTGTAACCGATCTGGCAGAAATAGGACTTCAGGTTAGTAGGGACCATTTAAAAGTGACATACTCAGTATCTCCAGTGAGACCGATGCTTGTACAACAACGCCAAAAACGGAAGCAGTAGCAATAAAACTGCCAGGTCTATCATTGTGATCACAGAAAAAACCCCGGTCCAAGCACTCCAGCTGCCCTGGTCTCGAGTTGACCTAGATGGTGACCTCCTCACGTGATGATTACGTCACAATTGCTACCAATCTGGCCATGCTCACTTAAACATAACTCCACACACATGATTTATGAATCCCCTTCCATCCTGATTGTTACAGCCTTTAGTGTTTTATCATTTTACGAACAACTTTATACAACTTGATGTTACAGTATTGAACGGTGCAAATTTAAACGTATTGCATTTTTACTTCTACTTGTAATTTTGCGAGCGTAAAGACGAGCGTTCGGAAGAAAAACTAGCTTGGTCCCATTGAATCGGTGTTCTGATAACCAGTCCTGAATACGTCAAGCCTGGCATTATAAATGTTCTATGTTCGGTATTCCTATCTTTTGTCCGAATTGTGAAAAGTTCACTATCCTCGTTTTGGATTCGAACCCAGAGTCTTTGTTTGGGCTTTGTGTTGTGGCTACTAAACTAATTTATGTTGGTTGTATGGTAGTTGAATGTGCAGCGTTGCGGTCCGGATTCACCACTTATTTGATTAGGTTCCACTGGTTTACTCACTATCCGTTCAATGTGATAAGGCATCGTATCAACTTTCCTCTCCCTGAGCTGCCTGTTTCACCAATCATTGAGTGTAATGAATGACCGGAACCGTGAACATGCATTGACGTCGGCAAGTCACCGAGATATGAAGTTCAGGAGTTGTCCCGGGCTCACTGCGAGGGCGTGTGGGGTGGGGTTAATTCTCAGTCCGAGGTTCTAGTGCGCACTGCCAATGATGCCGAAACGACTTTTCAGAACATTATATATATATATATATATATATACATATATATATATTCACACACGCCTGAGTTTAGACTGTGTACCAAACAAATCGCTCACGGTACAATAATCGGCATAAAACAGAAATAAGGTCA